CTCGCATAATGAGAAAATATACATGAGACTTGGGTTTTTCTGGGATCTCTCAGATTAGAATTCTCATTGTTCAATAGATAGTTTTTTTTCTTCCGAATGTGTAGGCATGCGTTAACTGCCAATGTTGGGACAATGTTGGCTGCCAAAGTTGGACCAATGTTGGAACAATGTGTCCTAACATGTCCTAACAATCTGTCCTAAATATGGCACTTTGGCTTCGGGTGAAAAAAAAAATTTTTGGCTCTGGACGACAAAAAAATGTATACAAACATAATTAAATCTGTAGTGACGAGAGCAATTTCTCATTTGTTTGTGTCGTATCAAGTCACTATTATTTAAAAAACAATTTCTTCTACAATCGGTTGTATAAAGAAATGTTCAGCATTCAGGTCTTTACGAACGTAAAAGTCTGATCTTTACGATTCTTGTCAGGTTAGAATCCTTATATTTTTCAACGAGTCATTTTTTTCTATGACACTTTGTAACGCAAGTCTAAAGGCCTCGCTCAACGAATCAACGATGAAAAAGTTGAATAAATGAATTAAGACTTAAATTGAAAGAAGAAGAAACATTAAAGGAAGGCAGAAAACTTGGGCGGAGACGTCTTAATGGCTTGAAAGCTGCACTCGAGTAGTCGCGGCATAAACGGGCAATAGCCGCGAGATGAAAGATATTTCACAGTTGTAGAAGGTGGGACGGTAAAAAAAATACGCACACAAAACCGAGCAAAGAGGTGGAGATAAAGAAAATAGAGACAAAAAAATTCAACACAAGTGGCTTTTTCTCGTGGAAGGGTTCGATACTAGGTACACGGATCCTCGGGTTATCGAGTTGGTGGTGAGAAAAAGCAGATAGGTATTTCACTTTGAGAAGAAAGGCATGAAAATTCACTGGGTGTCGCAGTGCCCCCTGGCGATACAAAGGGCTCCTGTGACGCGTGATTTTTTTCAAGACGTGCCGGAAAAACCTGTGGGGGATTCTTGAAGGAAGAGAGCAAAATCACCGGAAAAGAGGAGATATGTGACGTAGCTGGTTGCAATGCTTGAGCAGACGTCTTGTGAAGGAAATACGAAATTTTACGAGACAAAGAGTTCTTGTCCAATTTGTCAGGAGAAAAATCGAGACATTCGAACTCTACTGGCACCCACTTCAATTCCTGAATTACTCGACATATTCGGAACCCAAGTGTCTGCCGTTGGAAGTGTAAAAGTTTCAGTCCAAGTCGACTTCAAGAGTAAAGAGAAAAGTCGCTCTTGGTATTGGTGAAGCTCTGCGTTTGTCATAATTTCCGATTTTTAGATTTTGGTGGGAATTAACGAGAGAAGAACAGTCTCTTGTTGCCAGTGAAAATCTCTGAATTCTGAGAAGACGTTGAATTTCCACTTATTCTAAGACAATTCTCCTTTAAAATTCAACGAAATGCACTCACGTTTCAACTATCCATTCAATAAAGATGACGATCTACTTCCCCCCATAAAAAAAAAAAAAAAAATTCACAGTAATGAAATGTGACATTTCATCACCGAATCTAATGAAGAAATAATCAAGAAATCTCGCATCCGCTTATCTTTACTCCAGGATAATTAAGAGGATTAGGTTTCTTCCTCACGTTGCTCCGAGTCAGCGTAGTTTGTCTTGCGGCCTGTCCACCGCAGCCTGTCCCAACGGCTTGCCATCCACCCGAGTGTAATGCATCCTCCCTGGCTGTTACTACCCGTGTTCCTTTTATGTATTACAGTAAAACACAGCCTCTGCGAGAATCCCCCAATGCGGCCAGACATAAGTCTTCTGTCCTGAGGGCTTTCAAAATGATGCTGAAGATGATTATTAGATCATTAGATCCTGCTGCAGTCATCCTGTGGAAGTAATTGATTGCGTCAGCTCAACTGGAAGATAGATTCCCTTGTCGAGATGAATTCGAGTTACAGAAATGACATTTTTAATCGAGGACTGATAATGAACGGAATTAAATTATTGCATTTCTGATTATTTGTTGCGGGGTGTGTAAAATATGTGGGAATTTTCATTCATGAATTTTTCAGTGTTGGAACTGATATGATAGTCTTCAGAGCAAAAAAATAAATAAAAAGAAAACGATAAATGAAAAAAAATTGAATAAATAGCTAAATAAAACAAATGGGCTAAATAAATGAAAACAAATGATAATTGCCTACGAAGGTCATCTGGAGGTCATGAAGGTCTTCCGAAGGTCCAATGAAGGTTATATGGAGGTCTTATAGGGTCACCTGAAGATTTCATGGACGTCTTATGAGGTTCAAATAGGGCGAGATGAAGGTTATGTGAGATTATGTGAGGTCACACGAAGGTCTAATGAAGGTTATACGGAGGTCTTATAGGATCACGTGAAGGTTTCATGAACGTCTTATGAAGTTCAAATAGGGCGACATGAAAGTTATGTAAGGGTCACATGTAGATGATATGAAGGTCAAATGAAGATTATATGGAGGTCATATAGGGTCACATGAAGGTTTTATGAACGTCTTATGAGGTTCAAATAGGGCGAGATGAAAGTTATGCGGAGGTCCAGTAAATGTCATATGGAAATCATATGAAGGTCTTATGTCTTATGGAAGTCATGAGGTCACATACAAAAATTATATACAGGTTGTATGGAGGTCTTATAAGGTCATATGGAGGTTATGTGAAGGTTTTATGGAATTCTCACAGGTTCAAAAGTTACGCGGAGGTCAAGTGAATGTCACATCGAGGTCATATGAAGGTCTTATGGAAGTCATGTGTAGGTCATACAAAAATCATATCCAGGTCATGTGGAGGTCTTATCAAATGAAGGGCTTATGGAAGTCATGAGGAGGTCATACGAAAACCATATAGAGGGCCTATAAAGGCCTCGTAGGTCTTATGAATTTTATATTCATATGGAGGTCATATGCAAGTCTTATGGAAGCCATAAGGTCATACAAAAATCATATGGAGGTCATTTATGGAATTCGTATAGTCTCCGATTTACACGTAGGTCATGTGAAGGTCATGTAGGTCATACGGAAATCATCCGGAGGTCATCTGGAGGTCTTATAGAACTCATTAGGCCATACGAAGGTCTTTTGATTTTTACGAAAATCATTGAATTGAAAAAAAAATCGCTCGGGGATGGGCTAGACCTCCAGCACAAATATAATATTGTTGCTACAGCATTCGTGAGATAAAATCATCTACAGCCATTCTTCCAGAATGAAAGTCCTAGGAATTTCCATATTACTCTCAATAGTTCCCCCAAGATGAAAATACTTGAGACAGTGAGTTACATTCGCAGTGGCTCTCATATACATGAGATAAGGGTATCTCCCCCTGTTTATACAGAACCAGCGCTGCCGTAGGGTTGAACCGACAGAGCGGAATTGAAGTGGAATCCACCTGGCATGTCACAGTATCGTTTACAATAGGAAAACTATATCGATTGTACTTACGCCCTGTTATACCACTGAGAAAACAAGTCGAGTTACTCGATTCGCTGAGCTGTGCAACAGATTTTATTCAGCTCTCCGGAATTAGTGGGAGTGGGAAATGTTGAAAACTCGGAAAATATCAGTCGTATCGTGGCGATCCACTCGATTAAAATTCCAGTATTTTATTTTAGGGAAATGGAAGATTACAAGACGATGGAGTTGTATTCACGTCATCGCTTTGCGAGGAAGTTCATTATTTCTACGAAAGAATAAAGTTTTATCTGAGATATTTCTGGGAAAGAAGATTATGTGGAAAAGGGAGCAGAGAGACACAATAGATTCAAACTTGGTCGTTTTCCCTCAAGTGGGAAAGAGGGAAGATTCTTGAATTTCATTAGGAGAGAAGCAAGGGCTGCGTTTCTTGAGGTTTTTTTCCTGTTCTTTCGTTTGCATTTTTCTACATGAGAATTCATTTGAAGGTGACGTTTTGGTATTGATTCTTTATTTGTTTATTCAAGTCAAGACAGCCGAAGCCAATGACAAGACCTACAAATAGTATGGGAATAATAAACGCGTTGCGGTTTACATATTCGCACTAGGTAATGAATGCAAGAATTAACATAAATGTCTAGCCGCAAAGAGAAGAGATCAAGATAGTAAACATGAAGAGTAAAGAGATCGTAATTGTTGTGTGACGCCAATAATAAATTTTTGCAGTTTCATATGCCTTATTCACTAAATAACAAATTTAGGGCAGTACCTGCTTAATGCATTGGAGATGATAGAGCCAGGTTATTCTGTACTTTAGGAAGATAAATCTTCGAGTTTGAGCGAGTGACTGAACGCGAAAATTTCAAATTCAAACGGACCAATAATGCAGGACTGTCGATGGTGTTTCAAAGGATTTTGTCAGGAGAATAATTAATGTCTTTGTCCTTTGGTGCTGGGGGCTTGGAAAATTTAATCGCTTACACAGAGACTACGGTAGTGAATTAATTGAAAAATTTCTATTTTTTAAGGCAACTGCATTTTTTGTAGAATAAAAATTATGACTCGTGTGACCCTTCTTTATGACAAAAAAAACCCTGAATTCGACAAATTAAGAATTAAAAAGCAAACAAAAAAGTAAAAAAAAATTGTTTTCTGAAAAATAAATTTAAAAAAAAATTTTGTTGAATTAAAAAAATCGAAGTTTTCAAAAAAAAAAAATTCAAAATGAAAAAAAATTCTAAAAAAATAATGTTTTAAATTATGTTTGCATGGAAAATATTCTTCGCGAATTGTTCCACCCACTCCCCCATGCATTCCAATAGCTCTCCTGCATATCCTCGAATCCGAAAATTAGAACGATTAATCGACTTTAATTAAATCCACAAATTCCAGGGTTATTCACGAGACTTATTCATCCGGGGATTTTAATAACCCCAGTTTCATTCTATTCCCCGAAAGGAAATTAACCAATTACACTGAATCAAACTATTCCAACTCCCCCATTCATATTCCACCAGCATCTGCATGCAACGCGAGTGAAAAAAAAAAGATTTTCAAGTGTTTTTTTTCTTCATTCCATTGCAGACCCTCGTCTGCGCTGTATGGATATGGACGAGAGTATGGCCGGGAACACAAATTGGGTTCTCGGCGACCTGCGTAGCCTCCACCGTTGTGTACCGGCACTTCGGCGAACAGGTGAGCATGAATTTGAAAAAAAAAATCTCTTTTTTATGAGAGTGTAACGAGGGCAGTGATCAACTGCCACTAGTCCCCAGTTTGTTTCCCGTCAATTCCCAGGAGGCCGCATCGTATAACGCATCGACGCTGTATTGATTTGCACATTCGTGTCATGCTGCATTGATAACTCGTTATTAATCCAAAATACAGGGGTGGTTAATATCGCGGAGGTCTCGTTGCTCGACGAATGAAACCACTGGTTACTAATTAAAATGGAGGGTTGCACTTTTTTGCGGTTTATGAGCTGATGTGAGTAGTTCAATCACGTGTGGGGAAAAAAAATTGGGAAAACCTGCAGGACAAAACGTAAAGTGGTGCTAAATTTTCTTTGGAAATAGCAAATTTTCGCGAACAATCAATTTTTTTTTCATTTCTGGTAATTTCGTGCATTTAAACTTATTTTTTGAGTTGTCATAGCATAATTGAATTGAATTGAATTGGAATTTATATTTTCCATTGAATTTTTTATCAAATTGAGGAATTTTCAATGACGAAATTCCTTAAAATTTCAATTTTAAATTTTAAGAACAGTTTTCAAAATATTATTAACTTTATATTTTTGTAATTTTTGTAAATTTTGTAATTTTTCTTCTAACGGATAATCAAATATTGCACTTTAAAAAATAGTTCATTACCACTTCACATTTTGCTCTTATTTTTAAGTGAAACTCGCAAAATATCTGAAGCGAGCAATAAATTTTTCCTTTTGAGTTTTGGAATTCTTATGGATTTAAACTCAAATATGCCTCATTTTTTGAGGCATATTGTATTTATGTTTTGCTATTTTATTTTCATTGGATTAATTTTTTCACCAAATTGTGGAATTTTCAATGACGAAATTCCTTGAAACATCAATTTTTAATTTCAAAAACAGTTAAAATTTTTATAATTTTTTCCTCGAACAAAAAATCAAATATTTCATTTGAAAAAATAGTTCATCACCGCTTCACATTTTGTATTTATAAGTAAAAACGCTGACGAAAGCGAGTCATAACAATTAAAGCCATGATTTAATTACTTTATTTTCAAACATCAGTTGATCATCACTCAATTATTATATTTATCCCCAACAATAAATGGAGTATTGATACCAGAATTCTCGTCCTTCCATCGCCCCCAATAAATTTCAAATCGACCTAAAAACCTCTCCCGAAGATGAAGAGATCAGTTAAAATCCCCCGTCCGCAAAGCCATATTAGCAAGTCCTCATTAAAGTCTGAAGGTACGATTGAATATTAATCACTAAACTTTGTTACACGTCACTCGAATCCTCTCAGACCCTCCATCCAACTCAAAGGATCTAGAACTGCAAGTGACAAGATCCACCGTCTTTTCACGAAGTTGATGGAGATTCGAGAAGATTAGACCCTCAATTTTTAATTTCTCATCCCGAAGTTGGATTACGATACGAGTCTCAAAAATTATATCGTCAAGTATTAATGTTTTCGCTTGGGTTTTCAGGGCTCGATGTAACTACCATTCGAACACATTTCTACCCGGAGGGTGGGTGGGGGTGGCTTGTGTGTGCCGCTGGGTTTTTGGCCCTGTTGCTGACAACTGGAATGCAACTTGCTTTCGGTTTGTTGCATCTTTATGCCATACGTCACCTTGGGGAAGCTAATCTGATGAATATTGGTGAGTGAAGCGAATTTATATTATTGTTCCATTGATTTGTTGAAATTTAATTGAAATTATTCAAACTTAAATTTCGTTTTTATTTGCATTTTTATTCTGATTTATTTATTTATTTATAAACTCTTCGGATTCCTTTATATTTTTGCTAGGGGGCTACGCCCCCTGCTCGCTCCGCTCGCCAACCCCTATATGACCTCCATGATCCTTATTTTGACCCTTGAGCCCTTGATCTGACCCTCATTGTGCCCCCCTCGTGACCCTTATTTTCACCCTTCATTTCTGAGTCTTAATTTCGAGCAAATTTTGATCACCAAAAGTCGATTTGGATTTTTACAATACAGAAGCCCTTATTTTATGGCTTGTTAACCTTAGTTTCTGACTCCCATGATCTTTATTTGGACCCTTAATCTGACCTTTGTAATCCTTAATCTGACCCTTGTGACCTTCATTTGGATTCGTAATCTGACTCTCATTATAACCCTCGCAACCCTCATTTTGATCCTGGTGACCCTTTGTTTTTTACCTCCATGACCCTTACTAGAACCCTTACGCTGACCCTTTTGAACCTTAATCTAATCCTCGTGACCCTTATTTAAACCCTTATTCTAACCCTTGTGACCCTTATTTTGACCATTGTAAGCCTTTCTCTGACCCTCATAACCCTTATTCTGCCCCTCACGACCCTCATTTTGACCCTCATAACCCTTATTTTTATCCTCAAGGCCCTTAATATTGACGTCTCAATTTTGAGTACCAAATTGTCATCACCAGAAGTCGATTTGCATTTTTACAATGTAGAAAGATTCTTTTATATTAATTTATATTATTATTACACCCCGAGGAATGCTTCATCCTCATTAAATACATTTTAATTTGATGAAACGAATGGATTTATTCAAACGTAAATTTAATTTTTATTGGCATTCTCACTCACATTTATTTATTCATAAGCTCTTTATTTATTTATTATTTAAAGTTGAATCAAAAAAATTAAGATAATGCCAACTTCACTTATTATAAACATTATCTACAAAAAAAATGGCGAGAATCGTAAGAAATCCTTGAAGAAATCCCTATTTTTTTCCTCTAAATTCTTTCATATGTGCGGTAATGGATACAGATAGACAGTTTACCCATGACCCGTTCCATTTACTCAGGTGCATTCAGCACATATATAAATGACAATGCACAGCCCTATCCGTTTTCCGGGCTGTGTGTCCCAGCAAAATAGGTTACAAACGGATCGTTCACGGAGTGAACATGCCTCATGCCACCACCAATCATCATGATGACACTAGACGTGACACAAAGTGCTCCGAGTCCATTATGTAATACAATTATCTCTAGGAATTCCCCAATCTCCATTAGGCAACAATTATTACCCAACGACTTGAAGGTGACATTCCGATTGACGAAAAATTCCCGTGAAATATATCTCCTGAACATCTTGACTTTCATTCTCCCCGTAAAATATTTGATAATAGAAAACTCAAGTGATAGATCCGCAGTATTTTGTGCTAGCTCAGGCAACATGTGCACGCAACGCCGATAAACTTTTCGTCGACTCCGACCCAACGATTTTCTTTCCACTCTGAAACTTGCGAGGATAAATCTACTCTCGTGTCTAGCTCCGTTACTCCACTCACTCCTGGTGGATTGCTGTCTTCGACCCACTCTCAAGCACAAATGGAGTCTTTTCCCGAGTCAGTGGTTATTTTACTCGATACGCTATTCCACCGCTTTCTGTTCAAGCGTGGAAAAATAGGGGATGTCAATTGAATTTATAGAAGCCTCAACTTTTCCATGAAAAAAAAGTATACGTGAAAAATATATTTGTTCTTGTCGAGTTATGTGTGTGGATCTATAAAAAATAAATTCGCTAAATGGTGTATCTTCATCTAGTTCTAGTTCTGCGTTGTGAAGTGAATTTTAAGACCGATAATTTCTGTAGTTCACGATAGCTCAGTTGGAAGAGTCCCAGCATGATAATGGGAGGTTCCGGGTTCGATTCCCGGCTGGGACTTGGCGATTTTTTCTCTCGGGAATTCCAATTCTGTGGAGGTGGAGTCTCGTAAGGGACTTATGGAGGTCAAAAGGGGTCTCAAAAGGGCCTTATAGAGGTCGCATAAGGGTCATATGAAGAGAAAGCGAGGTCATAGGAAGGTCGAATAGGATTATATAGAGGTCTCAAAGGGAAGGGAAAGTGAGGCCCTAGGAAGGTCAAACAAGAAGATCAAATAAACAGAAAGTGAGATCTCGTAGGGAAGGGAAAGTAAGGTCCTAGAAAGGCCAAATAGGAGGATCAAATAGGGTCTCAAAAGGAAACGGAGAGTGAGGTCTCATAGGGAAGGGCGAGTGAGTTCAATGGAAGGTCATATATTAGAGGTCTCATAGGGGACTCATGGAGGTCATATAGGGGCATATGAGGGTCTTGTTGATCGTGTGATCGCCATATGAAGGAAAATGAGGTCATAGGAAGGTCAAATAAGATCAGATAGGGTCTCATAGGTAAACAGAAAGTGAGGTATCAGGAAAGAGGAAAGTGAGGTTCTAGGAAGGTGAAACAGGAAGATGAAATAGGGTCCCGGAAACGGAAAATAAGGTCTCAGGGAAGAAAGAGTGAGGTCATAGGGAGTCTTGTCAAAGTCTCATTAGGGACTCAGGGTCTTATAAAGTCCATATAGGGCTCATCAGGTCACATGAGAGTCCCCTAAATTCATATCCGATTCGTATAAAACTCACATGGGGGTTCCATATAGGTCATATCGAGGTACTATCAAGGTCAAAACCTAGATAAGAAGACGTTTTTTTTTATTGTCTGTAAGAAGAGGTTATCTGAGGTTTTTGTAAACTCACATGAAGATCATATAGGATTCTCATTTAGGCGTCATGACATCATCACTCATAGATTCCATGAAAATCAATCGTTCGTAAAGACTACCTGATTCCCGGAGACAGGTCTAAAAAAATTGATGCAAGCCATATGGCTATACATGATTAATAGTCACACCCTGCAGGTCACCAGGGGCTGGCAAGATGACTGAGCTGTGGGCGGAGTTCCCCAGTATGAAATATATCTTCACACAAAGAAAATTGGCTCATTTTTGTAGATGAGTCATATATAAGGATTATAAGATTCATACATCATCCATATGTAGGACACATGTTTTCCTGCATATAGCCGCAATATATCAAATATATTGAATTTTTGGTTCATCCATTTTCACTCATTTCTCCGCCACAAATTCATTCCCACAGAGCTTCCTTCGTAAAGTGAAACCGAACTTTTATTCCTGTGCATCCGGTGTTTTTAGTGCTCATTGAGTTTTAGTCCCTCTTCAGCGACGGATTAATTACGGCTTTCAGCGGTATCTTGAGTATATCCTCGTCAACGATATTGCAGTAGATACGTCCCGAGTGAATACACACCACGGTGCATTATACAGGACGCCTCTAAAATCCCCTGCGCAGCTTAAACTCGGGGGGAATTGCACACCCGATGATAATGGCAGGAGTCGAATTACTATTTTACGTTCGGAGGTATTCAAAGGGCCGGAATTATGGCCGGTATTGAGGATCACCCGTCACCTTGGGTAATTGAAGATCTGGTAATGGAGGGGCAACACATCGCGGGGAAAATGGAAATGGATCGGGCGGCTATCTTGCTGAAGATATTTTTCGCTTCGTTATCCACCTGTCACATAACTCCCGGCAGATCGCCGGCCCTCGGCCATTAGTGGATATCTCGCCGGCGTCAGATCAGTCATCAATCATTTTGGGGTTTCTTCTGTGATTGTCGCTGGTTTCGGGTTGTCCCAGGACACGGAGGGAAAAGTTTATGATTTTTAGAAACTCATCGTTCAGGGGACCTACGCGTTTTGATCGAACGAAAGTTTTTATTCGAACTTTTGTATTTGCTAGCGATGATTTACTGGTGATGACCTTTTTTCAATTAATTGTTTATAGTCATTCTCATTGCAAAAAGCAACGGAAAATTTCGCTTCTATTGATTATTGATAACGTAATAATGTCAGACAGTTAGCCCTCCGGGAAGAGCATTTAATATCCGCGTTAAAAGAATTGCACGACAGTCTTACGTGGTCAGGTACATACCCTTCAAGACTGAAGGTCGCTCCACTCATATTTTCCTCTAGGTTCACCAGACTAACGTCCCTGAGATATGGGGCGCTCTGGCTTTTGCCTTGTTCGCCTTTAATTTCCTCGCGCCATGCTGTCGCGAATAAACAGAGGGTATGGGGAGAAAAAAATGATGAGGTAGCATGTAATGCTCAGGAACAGCTTTTGTGCTCACTGTGGGATGAAAATTGAGGATGAAAAATCAGTGGCAGTCGATTCAGAGGGGAAGGGGGGATTGATGAAACTTAATTCATCACTTCTGGAAATAGATAAACTAGTGTCTGAAGGTAAAACATTTTTGAAAAAAAATTAACTTTGGGTAATGTTGACTGTCAATGTTGGGGTTATGTTGGCTGCCAGCATTGAGACAATGTTGGCTGCCAACATTGAGACAATGTTGGCTGCCAGCATTAAGACAATGTTGGCTACCAACATTGGGCAATGTTGACTACCAACATTGCGACAATGTTTTAATGCTAACTGCTGACGTTGAGACAATTTTGGCTACCAACATTGAGCAATGCTGACTGTCAACATTGAGCAATGCTGACTGTCAACATTGGGCAATGTTGGCTGTCAACATTGAGCAATGTTGACTGTCAACGTTAAGACGATGTTGGCTACCAACATTGTAACAATGTTTTAATGCTGACTGTTGACATTGAGGCAATGTTGGCTGCCAACATTGCCTTAATGGGGCAATATTGAATTCAATGAATCATAAAATGCAATTTAAAATACATCGTCATAGAAATTTCATTCGGAAACAAATAACCAATTTAATAGCAAAAATATATTGACTATTCTGTGACAAGAGCAATTTCCCACTTGCTTCCTCTGTGTCTCCATCGATCGCATTACCA